ACACACTCATTCCCACCACTCCACTCACAGAATCGATCCATCTCATCAAGGGTCTTCCTCTCCTGCACCATCCCTTCACTCTCCCAAACATGATGTCCCTCCCCAAGGACAAGTCCCTCCTTGCAACATGCCCAAAGTATGTCAGATGAACATTCTGGCTTCACCTTCTCCAGGACAAACCTGTTTGTTCTCCTAGCAGTCCATGGTATATTTCAACACTCTTCTTCAGCACCACAGCCCAAAGACATCAATTCTCTTTCTATCATTCCTATTCATTGTCCAACTCTACGATGCATAGCACATAACTGCGAAGACCGTAGCCTGGATCAGGCGCACCTTAGTCTCCAGCATGTTGTTGTTGCTCTTCAGTACTGTTGAGAGGTCCCTCACAGCTGCCTTTCCCAATGCAGTTCGTCTCCTGACTTCCTGGCTGCTGTTACCAAGAGTGTTGACTGTGGAACCAAGTAAACTAAAACGGTTAACTATCTTAATATCTTCACCATCCATACTGATGCTGCCAATTGGCCCAGTGGTGAGAATCTTTGTTTTCTTGATGTTGAGCTTCAATCCATATAAGAGGCTGCAGTCCTTGACCTTCTGTAGCAAGCGCTTCAGGTCCTCCTCAGTTTCAGCAAGCAGGGTTATGTCATCTGTTTAACATAGGTTGTTGATGATTCTTCCACCAATCCTGATGTCACATTCCTCCTCGTACAGCCCAGCGTCTCGGATGATCTGTTCTCCACACAGATTAAAAAGGTATGGAGACAATATACATCCCTGACGGGCCCCTTTCTTGATTTTGAACCATCCATTGTCTCCCTGCTCTGTTCAGTCTCTATTTTTTTAAGTGTGATTTGAGTGAAAGTTATGTTGATCTTTCACTCACTCACTCATCCACATTTTGTTTTATAAGTATTAATTACAGTATTCCTGATATCATCTGCTTATTCAGTTTTATCTTTTAATAGCTAATAATCTTCAACATTTCTTTATGTGTTTGTTGGCCATCTGAATATTTCTTTGGTGAAGTATCTTTTTATTACTGAATCTGTTTTTGTGGAAGTAGATTACCAAGTCTTTCTCTTCCAAAGCTATTGTTTAATGCCGTCGAGTCGAAGATGACTCATAGCGACCCTATGAACGAACAGCCTGAGCACTGTTCATACATAGAGTTTCCGGAGGCAAGCCATTTTGGAAGTGGATGCCGCTCCTGCTTCCAGGCTTGCTTTAGTCGGGAAGCTCCAGCCAACACTGTCTACCATGGGTGCCCATTACCACAATTGGCACATCACTGTCACAGGCTTCAGCATCACAGCAACCATGAGTTACCTCTGTACAGCAACGCACAGACCAGTGCTATACCACCTAGAAGAATGTTTGACAGGAAGACAATTTGGGCCCTTTGGGCTTAAGGCTGCCTCCTGGTTCAAACCCTAGGCCCAGGCTGGCTAGCCTCACTCCAGGGACAGAGCAAACCTGCACATCAAACACATTCCCGGAAAAGCAGTCGACTCCAAAAGCTTGCCACGATTCCTGCACTCCCACCACCGCACTCCTGCCTTCTGGCAAGGAGAGCTTCCGAAGAGCCTGAGGAGGAGCCAGCCAAACCAGGAACAACATGGCCACTACTTCCCAGCTGCCTTGGGCTTAAGGCTGCCTCCTGGTTCAAACCCTAGGCCCAGGCTGGCTAGCCTCACTCCATACTATATCTAAAATTTTCAATAATTACAAATTTTAAATACATCATTTTTCCTTTGTAATGAAATAAAAGTAAAAATTTTGAAAACTTATATTGTGATTTGTGTGAAAATTTTCATAGCAAATTTATTTTCTATTCAACAGTTCATACACATTATGTTTCATGTCACTAAATATGGTAACAGAACGTTACCTATCTCCTTCCTATTTCTCACTTCCACTCATCCTTTCCTGTCCTTTAATCCCTTCTGCACTTTATCCCTGAATAAAAGCAGCCTTTTGATCTCACATGGTTGGTTGTTCTAAGGTGTTCATTCCTCCCTGGTATCAGTGATCTTAGGTTATTGGTTTGTAATGTACTATTGAGTCAGAACTGACCCGGCAGCAGGTTTTTCTGCTGCAGTAAATTGCTCAGAGTCTTGTCTGTTGTTTGACTGAATTGGATTATGGGAGTAATTTCAATTCTAGGCTTGAAGGGTAATCAAGGGCTATATAATCTTAGGGATTCCACCAGTGTCTTTCATAGACCTTTTTTGGGATCCCTTTCAGAGCAGTGAGTGGTGTTAGCTAGCTACCAACCAGTGCTTCAGGTCTCAGGGTCATGGAGACTGAAGTTCATGTAATCCGTTAGTCCTTTGAACCAGTAGTCTTTGATTTTTTTTCACTATTCTTTGCTCCAAATAGAAAGACCAGTAGTTGTATTTTCAATAGAAACTTTTAAGCCTGAAACCTTTTTTCTTTCTCTTTCTAATTAATTTTAATGAAAGTTTACAGATACTTTGGTTTTCCATTCACTCATCGTTGCACTTTTCTCCCTGCCCACCCTGCCCCCGTTTGCTCTTCTCTTTGAAAAGTAATAGAAAAATTCTTTCATTGTTATACTATCCCTCCCCCCAAGTCCATTCCACTATGCTGCCTTCATTCTGTACTCCTATCATAACAATAATACCTAATCATATATCCCTGTTGTTGTTGTTGTTATGTGCCATCGAGTCGTTTCCGACTCATAGCGACCCTATGCACAACAGCTCTAAACCCTGCTCTATCCTGCGCCAACCGCACCGCCTCTGACACACCCATCCCGATTACCCCAGTCACCGAATCAATCCATCTCATAGAGGGTCTTCCCCTTCTGCGCTGTCCCTCCACCCTCCCAAGCATGATGTCCCTCTCCAAGGACCCGTCCTTCCTGGCAACATGTCCAAAGTATGTCAGATGAAGCCCCAGAATCCTTGCCTCCAAGGAGCAGCTTGGTTTAATCCTCTCCAAGATGGATCTGTTTGTTTTCCTGGCAGTCCAGGGTACATTCAGTACCCTTCTCCAGCACCACAGCTCAAAAGCATCCACTCTCCTTCTGTCCTCCCTAGTCATTGTCCAACTCTCTGATGCATAACAAGCGATTGCAAATACCATGACCTGTATCAGGCGCACCTTAGTCTCTAGAGAGACACTGTTGCTCCTGAGTATATCCCTGTAATATACATTATTTATCCCCTTTCTCAGTCTGCCTCCAACCCCTATGTCAGTCCTCTTTTATAACAGTGGCATTATGCAGTATTTGTCTTTTTTCTGACAGAGATATTTCACTCAGCATAATGTCTTCCAGAGTCACCATGTTGTATAATATTTCAGAGTTTCTTGTTTTTCAATGCAGCATAGTATTCCATTGTGTGAATATACCAGAACTTCTCTAGTCATTCATTTGTTGATGGGCACTTGGGTTGTTTCCAACTCCTTGCTATTGTGAACAAATCTGAAAAACTAACATAGGTGTGCATATATCTGCATAAGTGGCAGTTATGGTTTCTTTAGGGTATATTCCCAGTAGTGGAATTGCTGGGTGAAATGCTATTTCTGTTTGCAACTTTTTGAAAAAGCACCTTACAGCCTTTCATAATGGTTGCACCATAAGCCTGAAACATTTTAAGACCACAGTTGCTTCTCACCAAAGCAATGTGTGGAACATTGTATTTGTACATGCCAGTTGACCTTGGTATCATGGTTTTGAGGTCAGTACCAATTTTGTGTGTTTTAAATATTTGTTTTTACTGTTAACTGTACATATAGACAAGGATAGCAATTAGTTTGCAGTACAAAATTAAAAGCAGAGTTCCAATTTCATTTTCTTTAATATTTTATTCTCACAACATAAGAAATTTAAGTGGAGTAGAAGGGGAAGGGGCATAATTTTAAACAAGGAAGATGACATAAATCACAGATTATATTTACTTTTAATTTGCTTTTTAAATAAAAGTGTGTGTGTGTGTGTGTGTGTGTGTGTGTAGTTGGATGATAATATACCAGCAGTCACTGAGAGCAAGATCAGAAACAACCAAATGTTATACTCTCTAAATAAATGGGATCACACTGTTTGTTGCATGTGTGGCAAGAAGGGTAAGAAGTACAGTGCCTGTTCTATTTGGTGGAAAATGGTGATAATACTGATTGTCAATTTATAAAAAGATCACAGGAAAAAATAGCCACTTTTATAAGTATCTCTCAGTCTAGTTTCCGTCCTGACTCTTAACAATTTTCTCTAAAGTTGATTGAACTTTAAGAAATCTATAAAAAGAAAATAATGTTAGCGCGTTACTAAAATATTTTTGGTTAAAAAATAATGCCAGTATATACAAACGGAGCATATATTTATAAAGCTAGTTACTCCTCGATCAAAATTCATATTACTAATAATGTCATATCTGCCATTTACAGTTGTGTTTGCCATTATATATTCTTTTAGCTCTTGGTAGTAGATTTACTGTTGTGCACCACACTGCCCAAAATAATAGCAATTGGCTACATGTGGCTATTAAAATTTACCTTTTAATTAATTAAAAGTAATTAAAATTAGACATTTATTTCCTATCCTGCTAGCCAGCCATAGTATAGATACTCTCTAGGTACATGTGGCTAGTGGCTACTGTATTGGATAGCACAGATTAAAACATTTCTCTTATAGTGATAATTGAAAAATAGGGCCTAAGGGGATGGTATGTGGGTTCTGGTTCTCTCACTTCTGTAAAAATAATACATCCAGCAAAATACATCCAGTTAGTTTATCACCCAGAAAATAACTTTACTATCTTTCTCCTTCATGATGACAATGTGTCTGAAACTTTCATGGAAGTTTTGTTTAAATTTTAGTCTTATCAGATGTACTTGGTAGTAAATTTACTGTTCTGGTCTTTAATAAAAATAAGCATATAGATGAGTAATAGAAGTAAAAATATGTATTATATTTCCTTTAGCCTGTATGTTTAATAATATGTGCCCTTTTTTTTTCTTTTCTTTACCTGGCACAGGTAGAAGAGTCAACAATGATGGGAGTAAGTGGCTATGTGGAATACCTCCGAGAGCAGGAAGTATCTGAGCGGTGGTTTCGCTACAACCCCCGTCTTACTTGTATCTACTGCGCCAAATCTTTCAATCAGAAGGGAAGCCTAGACCGCCACATGCGCCTGCACATGGGGATTACACCATTTGTCTGCCGCATGTGTGGCAAAAAGTATACCCGGAAAGATCAGCTAGAGTATCACATCCGCAAGCACACAGGCAACAAGCCCTTTCATTGTCATGTTTGTGGCAAAAGTTTCCCCTTCCAAGCCATCTTGAATCAGCACTTTCGCAAAAACCACCCTGGCTGCATACCCCTGGAAGGACCTCACAGCATCTCCCCTGAAACAACTGTCACATCTCGAGGACAAGCAGAGGAAGAATCTCCTTCACAGGAAGAGACAGTTGCTCCTGGAGACACAACCCAGGGATCGGTGTCCACCACTGGGCCTGATTGAAACATCAAGGGGGAGAGGGTAGACCCTCTTCCCCTTTGGGCCATAAGCAGCCAGCATCTGGGCCAAGGGCTGGTATTTAGATTCACAAACTACCACATCACCAGACTGGAAGAAGCTTCCAAGTGTTGCCAAACTTAGAGGGTCAGCAACGTACACAAAAGCACTAAAGGCTCTTCTCTTCCACTTTTCCACCTCACTCTTTGGAAAATAATCAAGCAAATCACCTTTCTAATTCAGGGATCAACAGCCTTGGTTTGTTAACTTTATAAGAAAAAAATTTTTTTAACAAAACAATGATAAATGGTTATTTATCTACCAGTCATGTTTGAACACTGTACTTTGGTCCATATCATCTTGATGGCTTGTAATTGCCCATATCTAAGAAATGCAGCAGGAGCCTTGGTCATTCTGAACCAGCCAGCCATAGGATGGAAGGAGATAGTCATGGTGGTGATAATGAAGAGGATCTCTCCTCTTCCTTACCTGCCAAAATGTGCACGTTTTCTGTTTCAAGAAAAAAAAATAATCCTGGTTATCTTTACTGTTTTGAAATGTTAGACTTTACCTTTCCCTGGCTGGGCATCTTACTATTTTGCCTGATTGTTTTGTGTAAGCAGTCACCTTGGAGCAGTATTCTAGAGGGCAGCTTCACCTAAAGCGCTTTAAGACAACTGGAAGTGAAGTAAGCAGCAGAGTGCAATAGGTACTGCTACATTTGGGGATTTGAGTGTTACACTGAGGAAGAGGGGAGCAGGGGAGGAAGTGTCTTTATGTTTTGCAAATGTTGAACAGTGTAGAGCCATACTGCGACTTCCTGACTGGTCTTTGTAAACCTTAGTGCTCAGACATCTTCATGTGTTAGGAAATGGCTCAAGTCCAGATGAAGTAATATGTTAGGCTTACTACCAAAGTTTCATCCCATCTTTTGGGCTCCTTGTTTTACATCACAGCAATATTGTCCATCAGAAATATCGTTTCCAGTGCAGTGAGCCTGGATTATATTTTTAAAGTCACAGGTCTCCATATTTGATAACTTTTATATGAAAATTTGACTTTAATAACATGTCTTTTCTGCAATATTGTGGTTGAAGAATTTCAACACTATGGTTCTCATTGCAACCTCAATTCCATTTCCTTTTTACGTGTGTTTTAGTTTATATTTTCAGTCTAATTGAAGAACTTTGCTGAATCTGTCTCGGGGCTGCAAACTTAGTGATTCATAAACTAACTAACAGCAATTTGCTGATGACTCCAAGAGCTTTGCTTTTTTTAAATAATACGCTAGAGGGCATTTACTAGAATACATCTTGCACAGTCTTGTTGCAATAAATGACCAAGGGATCAATTCTGGTCAGGTTTGGTTGCTTACTCATTCCTAAGATATTTTTAAACTTCAAAAGATCTTTTTGGTAATTCTAAGTACTTCTAAGATTCTTATTCCAGCACTGAGAATCAGAACCAACTATGTAGAGCTTTGAATGTCCAATCTGTATGCAGGGGAAAAGTGGAATATTAAGGGATGCAGGCAAGTCGATGCGTACAAGTTCAGTGCAAATTAGGGAAGAGGGGAATTTCTAGTTCTCTTAATCCTTGGTTTATTTTATTTTTTTTTAAAAGATGTAATTATGTGGTGGTTTCAGTAATTGTTTTGGGGCAGAAGCACTGGTGATCGTAAAAGATTTGGGAGAGGAGCTGGTCATGCTTTCCGTGTGAATGATTTCAGTGAGATTGCTGGTAGTCTGCTCTCTTCTAGAGAATGCTTTGTGGTATGTGGAGAGGTGGGTAGAAAAGAAATTCATTTCTTTATAATATGTTAGAATGCAAAGGGTAGCTAAAAGCCTACCCTTAAAGGTAGTATGGGAGACTATGTTTGGTCTTTTAAGTGATTTGGACTGGTTCATCCTCCTCTTTAGTTGGGCAACACCATGATAGGATAAAACTCTTCAGAAGCCATCCAGACCAGCTGTGCTTTATAGCATAGAAACACAGAATTAAAATTAGACTAAAATCTGGAGGGAAACATTCCAGCTGGTACTCAAGGCTCTCAGTGGTCAGACTTTGCCACTACTGAAAAGGTGAGGAGGTGAGAAGTATACAATATGCTGCTTTGGATGGAGCTTTTAAGCCTACCAAAAATATTTAAGTCCATCCTACTTTTGAGAAATAGTATGCTGAAGAGGTCTTTTTTGCTTTATTAGTTTCTTAGACGATTATATGTAAGAAAATAAAGCTTTTAAACTATGACCAAATTGTACAGGTGAAGTGCAGTAATTTCTGTAAAGAAAAACTTTGCAGCATTCATCTGTTCTCCATCCAGGATAGCAACAGATGTCTTAAATGAAGTAGGGGCTGTCGAAATCATGTGGAAATGCTGTGCGTGTTTGGTGAGTTTCCCCCTCCCTTTTCATTAACTTCTAATGGATTTTTTCCTGTATGGATACTGTGAATAGAGTGCTTCCTTGTCAGCTAGGACCACATCAACATCATCAGTTTGCCAGTTTTCTCCTCTTAATTGGCTTATTCAGAGCCATGACAAGTTCATGAAAATTCAAGCCAGGCTAACCTTTAAAACAAATCAGAGTTTCTGAAAATAATTTTGCTATTTTAATTAGAAGAGATACTGTTATTCTAAGTAATTATCCAAGATTTTTCTCTATGTTCACTGTGACTTTTACCCTTGTTCTTAGCTAACATTACTGTAATTTTATAGGAGTTAATAGTGTTCTATCTACATCAATGAGTAGCTATATTGGTGTGTGCACAGATACCTCTCTTAAGGATGGACTTAAGCTGATGATGAAAACTCATTACCAAATCTTAACTTGCACATGTCACCTTGTGAAGGGGACTACACTACCAGTGAGCGCTAAGTTATCAATATGCCTTGAAATTGCTTGCAATTCATGGGACTGAGACTGTTCTTAATCACAAACACTGGGACTTTGCTCTTGAGTGGCACATAATAGCCAAAGAGCTACCCAGTATTCTCAATAAAAAGAGATGACAGGATATTGATCTGCTTTCATTCCAAGGTGCACCTTTCATTCTCTTTGAATTCTGATCTTATTACTGGTATAAAATATAGCAGTGGTAACACTGTCCTTGACAGGAAGGCTCTTTCTAATGACTTGTTCTTGCTTTACTCAGAACCATATTTACCTCTGAATAGTTGAGTTTTATTTTATGTAAGTTGTAAACTACTCCAAGCCATTTTATTATGTCAGAGTATTACATTTAATCTTTAATATGTGAAAATAAAGTAGTTGGTAAAGAGTAGAGTTGAAAAGAAAGAAGACAAAAGTTAAAGTTTTTTCTTGTTACCATTTTTTGTGAGTTGTTTTGTTTCTTAAATGTTTCCAGTTCCTTCCACATCAGTGAAACATGGCTTTCCAAAGATGGTGTGACAATAGAAATAGGTTGTGTTCTCCCTATCTTAACAAATGAAATCTAGTGAAAGAGTGAAATGGTGAACTTCAGTGTATTTGGTCAAGAAATACTTTTTTAAATGTTCCTTGACACTATTTCCTTAGACTCATGAAGGTTATGCTTTATTTGACTATATCTTAAAGAAATGTAAGCAGTGGATAATTGAAAAGAAATGAAATCTAATAATGACAAAGAGTATTTTTAATCATAGTGGAAAATCAGAAGTAAGTTAGAGTCCTGAACGATTTACTTTTGTTGCATACAACAGATTTAATTTTTTCCCCCTTTGTACTTAATTAGATGCCTTTCCCCTTCTTTGAGTTCAAGGAGTAGTACATGAATATCTATTAAACCTTTACAAATAGGCCTTCTTATTTATGCCTGTGGGGAAAGTGCAAAGTACTGAAATATTCCACTTGCTGAGACTTAGTAAAAGGGACAGGTAACTAAGAGAGCTTAAGCTTTAGTCTCAGAAGATGCCCCTTGGCAAAATATGTCCCTGGGACTTATGAATTAGAATTTGACAAACTTCCGCCCCATAGGCCTAATCCTAAAGCTACCTGTTTGTGTAAATAAAGTGAATGGGACCACATACATTTGTTTAGATCCTGCTTCTTTCTACTTTCTATTATATCAGAGTTGAATACTTATGACAGAGACCATATAGCCTGCAAAGCCTATATTTGCTGCAAAGCAGTATTCTCTACTTGGCACTTTACAGATAAAGTTTGCCAACCTCTGAGTTAGAATTACACACCCTCCCAAATTTGTCACTCTGACCATCTTGCCTTTACATTATTCTAATTGACTATTTTAGTTCAGATTGCCATTTTTATAAATCTGTTTCTTGATTTTTCTATGTCTTTTTGTCATCATCATGCTCATACTTTCATCTCAGAATTCCTGTTGCTTTAAAAGCATTTTAGAATAAAACTTAGGTAGGCAGGTAGTTTAATATGACATTCTTTAAAATAATTTTCATACTTAATTAGGATGACGTGAGTACTATGGAAAACCATAAGTTGAGTTTGAGTTGAGATGTTTACATAAAGTACCATTTTAAAAATGTTTTGATAAATGTTTTGCTCTTCCTTCAGAGTAAATTGAACTGGTTTTATAATTATGTCGAATTAATTCATTCTAACTAGGATTAGAACAGTTGCTTTTTTGTTAGTTTTAAATGACTTGATGGTCATCCAGAGTATTGTTTTTCTATATTAGAAACTTTTACCTTATTCCTAAATTATAAACCTTCAGTTTACGTTCGTCAGTCAGACTTTCTGTTCCATGTGGGTAGAAAGAAACTAAATTTTTCTCCATAAACCAGCCTGTTTAATGTTTTATAGCATTATAATGAAACATCAGAGGATTTAAAATTCTTAGACCTGCCTTCCAGTTTTTTCTAAGTTATATTGGGGTCATCATATATTTTCTTTGTGAATGTTCTTTCTTATTTATATCAGATGTGGAAAATGCTAACGGTAGTAATAAATAGAAACCCTTGCAAGGAGGGTGTGCTCATTTGAAGATAATAAATAGGCTTCTGAGTTAAAATTATTTCTCTGGAATGAGTTTTCTAGGTCATGCTAATATAATGCAGTGAACTTGATTTTTCTTAGCTCTTTCAAAGTCTAGGGGTAAAGACTTAGCCTTTTCATTAGTAATTTTATTCCTAAAAAGACCATCTTCTAGGTTGGATATTAGTAATCTTTATATGATACATCCTCTGAGCAACTGATAATTTGTATGGTTCCAGAATATTTACCCAGATTAGATCTACCGTATTATATAGCAACTTAAACCCATGACAGTAGTATGCACTTGAGATTAGGTTTGTTTGGTTTTTTTTTTTATTTCGTTGCTGGGTTTTTTCCTGATTAGTCAAAGATAATGAGTAAGAGTCGTGAAAGAAATTGGATTTAGATAGCCCAATGAATGATGTTTTGGTAATGGATGACATTTATATGTTAAATCTTTGAAAGTAAGGTGTTGCCAAGAATGATTTCCTCTTTTTTTCCCACCCCTTTCTTTGCTTTCTAGTCTTTTTTCTATCTTATTAAATGGCATTTTTCCAAGGCTAATATTTTA